TACTTAATGTTTTTGGATTATTGTTTTTTTGGGTTTTTTGAGAGTCTCACTATGCAGTGCAGGCTGCCTCTGAATTCACTATGTAGCCCTAGCTGGCTTCAAACTTGTGACTATCCTCCTGCCTTGGCCTCCTGAGTGCTGGGATTACAGGTATGCGCCACCATGCCCACTTAATGTTTTTAAGTCTTCAAAATTTTTACTCTGCTAGTTGTTTTGCTTCTTGTTTCCATTGTTATCATCAATTTATTTTTTCTTTTTTTTGTTCATACCTTTTCATTTGAATGATAGGAAGAAAAGTAAATTAGTACATGCCCTGTAACATCTAGAACCTAAGTATACACATGACTGTTAAAGTTTAAAAAATAAATCTAATCTCTTTTCTTCCAGAAATGTTATTAAAAAGTGCCTATGAAAGATAAAGTTAAGATCCTAATATTATGCTGTTAATTTTTAAATTTAAATTATAGCTTGAAAGTGAAAAATATGAATTGCAATCTAAAGTATTAATAATGAAAGAAACAATAGAGTCACTAGAGAACAAATCAAAACTCCAAGCTCAAAAGCTTAGCCATGTGACGGGTGACTCGTCCCAACAGAAAACAGAGATGAACTCGCTTAGGTAAGCTGGTTAAAGCCTTTGCCATTGTTCTTCTGGGAAACGCTTCTAGGTGCACGAGGCTCATGTCCCTGGAGTTCCGGATTGTCTACAGCTTTGCAGCAGAATCGCCTGATGGTCTGATTTACTGAATAAATCTTGCTCAGGTTTGGGTATCTATTTTTAAAACTATCTGAAATCATTATGTTGTAGGCAAAATTATGTACCTACCTCCTTTTAAAATTCCTCTTAATGACTGTTTCAAACAATTTTTCTCTATAGCATAAAATGGCTGAAAATGGCAGAACTGTTTGCCGTGCCATTTTCCTTGTTCCTCTTGTCTCAAAGAAACGTAAAATCGGTATTTTCCTCCTGTTTTTTTTAACCCTTTCTAACTTAGAAATTGTGTGTCTGTGTGTCTCTGTGTGTGTGTGTGTGTGTGTGTGTGTGTGTCTGTGTCTGTGTCTGTGTCTGTGTCTGTGTCTGTGTGGTGCTAGAAATGGAACTCAGGGTCTTGAGCGTGCTATGAAAGTGCTGTAGCACTAAGCTACATCTCCACCCTAGAAACAAATTTTTACCAAAATATGGTCCCTGAGCCTCCCTCTAGGAGGCTAAATTTGAAGGAAATACAGAACATGAATTTGCAGTCTTAGAGTGTCAGAGGCAGATGGTAGAATCCAAAGATGTAGACTGAAAACAGTGGCAATGAAGTTGGGGAACAGAGGCCAGATTGAAGAAACATTTCTTACATAAAATCAAAAGACTTGTCTGATTTATATTAATTAATAAAGTCATACAATAGTGCAAAATGTATGCCTTAGGGTACTAAATTATTGTTTATCCATTAATCATTTTTGAATACATAAGACTCAAGGAAACAAAAAGCCAACCAAGTCCGTTTTTCTCTGGTTTGCATAGCTGCCGTAGGTCCAGATAGTGAAGATCAGCAGAGAAGCACTATGCGGAAGAGTCAAGAGATCGCTAACTTCCAGTAAGAATCAGGAAGATTTTCAAATGCCAAAAAAAATTATGTCTGTGAAGCTGAATCAGACAGGATTGTAATAATAATTTTAAAAGAAATCAGCATATTAAAGCAGAAGGGTTTTTGACCAGTAGGTGGCCTGTTGCAGAAATTTGAGTTAGTGGTCCATAGTATAGCTCAGCAGCACAGCTCCTGCATGGCAACCACAAGGTCATGAGTTCAATTCCTGGTACCAGGAAAAAAAAAACCAAACAAACAAACTTGAGTTGGTGAAATCAACAAAATTTGAGTAGAACTTGGATAAAAAGTAATGATGACACAGATTCAATGTACAAAAACTAGGAATCGTAGAAGTATATGGCAAAATAAACACAGCAAAGGTGAGAATCAAAGGAATAATTTGGAGAAGAAAAGCTTGAGACTGTAGTTCATTAAGTATTACCTGATTATCAAACAGCATTAAGGCACCAAGATGAAGCACTGGTTTACACAATCAATTAAGGAATACTATATTTGGGATATCTATAAGGCATCTTCACTTTCACTCTTTAGTTGTCTTTGTGAAGTAGACGTCAGGAAGAACTAAAATAGATGCTGCCTCTCTATCCTGCTCCCCTACCCTCTCCCAGCCACCTCCCCCACCCTTATCTCTGGTCTTCTTTGCAAGCACTGCATATATTCTATGAAGGAAAGCTGAGTGGGCCAGCCTCCTTCCCTTCCTCCTTCCCTCCCTCCCTCCTGCCATCTCTCTCCTCTCTCTTCCTCTCTCTCTCT